GTTGTCCCCAACAGCCTGTGGGGTTGGGATCCCCCAGGATTCTAGGCTGGCCGCCCACTCCCATCCATGAATATTCACACCTGGGTGACAAGGTAGAAATCACAGTAAAATAATAACAAATGCCCATGTAGGGCACACGCCTGTAATCCCAGTACTTGGGAGGCTGAGGCAGGAAAATCGCTGTGAGTTCAAGGCCAGCCTGAACTACATAGCAAGACTGTCTGAAAAAAAAAAAAAAAAAAAAAAAAAAAAGGCCAGGGATTTAGCTCAGGGGGCACTGCACCTGCCTCTCAAGTGCAAGGTCCTGAGTTCGATCCCTGGTACAAAAAAAGAAAGAAAAAAGAAACACACACATACACCAAAAATTTTTTAAAGTAAAAATGAATATAGTAACAGCAAGGAACATTACCCGAGTCAACATTAACCCAGCTCAAGAAGGCAGAGACCAGTAGTGCCCCGCTTGCACAGAAAGGGGGATGGGAGAAGCTTAGCAGCCGCTCAGGGTCACACAGCAGACCAGGACTTGGGCGCGGCATCTGCCCCTCCAGGCCGGCCCTTCGCACCCTGCACAGGGAGCCCAAGCTCCGCCAACGCCGCCGTGGCCAGACCAGCCCTGCCCCCTGCCCACCTCCACAGATGAGGCAGATGGCGCTGAGCAGCCCGGTCTCCGCGTCGTCCATCTCCAGAGGCAGCAGCTGGTTGGCGAAGGCAAAGACCAGGTCGGTGAGGGGGCCGAAGCCCGCGTTGTGCATCTGGGTCCGGTTCAGGGTGAGCCCGTCGGAGAAGGTCATGGTGTCCTGCTCGGGCGTGTACCGCGTGCAGATCCGCAGGATCTGGGGAAGGGCGCAGCTCAGGCCTCGGCCTCCCAGGGATCCACCAGCCCCGGGCAGCCCAGGGCCCTGCATCCAGCCAGGAGATCTGGGGTCGCCAAGCGCCCGGAACGCAAGGAGCACAGCGGCCGGGAAGGCGCCCTGAGCTGGTGCTCGCTGACGGGCGCCACGACTCCAGCTC